CAGATACCTGCTTACTATCTGTTTTACCACTTACTCTATCTTTTGTGGAGAAAATCTCTCCAAAGAAATTTTCACTTTGGAAGGCCAAGGCATATGGATTGCTACTTGGGAGGCTCAGGTGGGAGGACTGCTTGAACCGGAGGCAGAGGTTGCGGCCAACATCCAAGCAGGCACATATCAACACTCTTATAACCCAAAGAAGCCCACTGATATTACACAAAAAACTCATGTCTACACAGAGTGTGCCAGTTTTAATGATTATGGCAATATATTTAAAGAAAGCACTTTGGGAGGCCAAGATAGGAGGATCACTTGAGCCCAGGAATTCAAGAACAGTTGGGGCAAAATAGGGAGACCCTGTCACTACAAAAAATTAAAACATCTCGCCTGGCGCGGTGGCTCAAGCCTGTAATCCCAGCACTTTGGGAGGCCGAGACGGGTGGATCACGAGGTCAAGAGATGGAGACCATCCTGGTCAACATGGTGAAACCCCGTCTCTACTAAAAATACAAAAAATTAGCTGGGCGTGGTGGTGCATGCCTGTAATCCCAGCTACTCAGGAGGCTGAGGCAGGAGAATTGCCTGAACCCAGGAGGCGGAGGTTGCGGTGAGCCGAGATCGCGCCATTGCACTCCAGCCTGGGTAATGACAGCGAAACTCCATCTCAAAAAAAAAAAAAAAAAAAAAAACACTACAATTTTTTTTTTTTTTAACTCTTGAGACAAAGTCTCGCTCTATTGCCAGGCTGGAGTGCAGTGGCGTAATCTCAGCTCACTGCAACCTCCACCTCCCAGGTTCAAGCGATTCTCCTGCCTCAGCCTCCTGAGTAGCTGAGACCATAGGCGTGTGCCACCGTGCCGGGCTAATTTTTGTGTTTTTAGTAGAAACGGGGTCTCACCACTTTGGCCAGGATGGTCTTAATCTATTAACCTCGTGATTCCCCTGCCTTAGCCTCCCAAAGTGCTGGGATTACAGGTGTCTGCCATCGAGCCTGGCTACAAAATTTTTCTTTTATATTTATTTATGTTTATTTATGTTGCCCAGGCTGGAGTGCAGTGGAACAGTCTCAGCTCACTGCAACCTCTGCTTCCCAGGTTCAAGCGATTCTCCTGCCTCAGCCTCCCAAGTAGCTAGGACTACAGGCACCCGCCATCACGTCTGGCTAATTTTTGTACTTTTAGTAGAGACAGGGTTTTCCCACGTTGGTCGGGCTGGTCTCCAACTCCTGACTTCAGCTGATCTGCCCGCCTCGGCCTCCCCAAGTGCTGGGATTACAGGCGTGAGCCACCGCACCCAGCCTACAAAAAGTTTAAAAAGTAGCCAGGCATGCTGGCTCGCAGCTGTAGTCCCAGCTACTTGGGAGGCTCAGGTGGGAGGACTGCTTGAACCCGGGAGGCAGAGGTTGCGGTGAGTGGAGATCACGCCATTTCACTCCAGCCTGGGCAACAAGAGTAAACTCCATCTCAAGGAAAAAAAAAAAAAAGACGAGAGGTTTACTGCTGGGCGAGGTGGCTCACACCTGTAATCCCATCACTTTGGAAGGCCAAGGCATATGGATTGCCTGAGTTCAGGAGCTCAAGACTGGCCTGGGCAACAGGGCGAAACCCTGTCTCTACTAAAATACAAAATATTAGGTGGGTGTGGTGGCACATGCCTGTAATCCCAGCTACTCAGGAGGCTGGGACAAGAGAATCGCTTGAACCGGGAGTGGGAGGTTACAGTGAGCCAAGGTCATGCCATTGCACTAAAGCCTGGGAAACAGGGCAAGCCTCAGTCTCAAGAAAAAAAAAAAAGGTGGGGGGAAGGTTTACTATAATTAAGTCAGAGGGTAATTTTCTCTCCGGAGACTCAAGGAACTACATGTTCCTTCTCCAATCTCAAAAGAAATCTCAGAAGCACTCAAGAGGTAAAGAAGAGAAACATTAAGCCAGGCGTGGTGGCTCACGCCTATAATCCCAGCACTTTGGGAGGCTGAGGCAGGCAGATCACCTGAGGTCAGGAGTTTGAGACCAGCCTGACTAACATGGAGAAACCCTGTCTCTACTAAAAATACAAAATTAGCTGGGCATGGTGGTTCATGCCTGTAATCTCAGCTACTTGGGAGGCTGAGGCAGGAGAACTGCTTGAACCTGGGAGGCCAAGGTTGCAGTGACCCGAGATCGTGCCATTGCACTCCAGCCTGGGTAACAAGAGTGAAACTCCACCTCAAAATAAATAAATAAATTTAAAGAAAGAAAGAAAGAAAGAAAGAAAGAAAGAAAGAAGAGAGATACTATCAAGTATTAATAATAGTCATGAAACACAGTAGGACTTGAACTCTTGGACCAGAGCTTTGTCTATCTGACCACATCCTTGCATGATGCTACCCTATCCAGGGATAAAGGTGTCATGGCCTCCAGCAGCTGTTTTTGGCAGATATGGTGACGACCACCATTTCCGTCCCAGAACCCACTAATTGATTTTTACCGTTTTTTTCAAATAAAGCATGACTTTCTTTTCCTAATAAAATAACATTGCCTTAACACAACCAATCCTTAGAAAACCATCAAATATACCCATCAAGTTCAGTAGCTAGAGCAGGCATCCCCAAACTTTTACACAGGGGGCCAGACCGTTGGAGGGCCGCCACATACTGTGCTCCTCTCACTGACCACCAGTGAAAGAGGTGCCCATTCCTGAAGTGCGGCAGGGGGGGGGATAAATGGTCTCAGGGGGCCGCATTCGGCCTGCAGGCCATAGTTTGGGGACGCCTGAGCTAAAGAATGGCCTTAGGAATCAAGATTTGTGAATTCTTTTTTTTTTTTTTTTTTTGAGACAGAGTCTCACTCTGTTGCCCAGGCTGTAGTGCAGTGATACGATCTCGGCTCACTGCAACCTCCACCTCCTGGGTTCAAGCTATTCTCCTGCCTCAGCCTCCCGAGTAGCTGGGATTACAGGCGCTTGCCAACACACCTGGCTAATTTTTGTATTTCTAGTAGAGATGGGGTTTCACCATGGTGGCCAGGCTGGTCTTGAACTCCTGACCTCAGGTGATCCGACCTCCCAAAGTGCTGGATTACAGGCGTAAGCCACTGCACCTGGCCAAGATTTGTGAATTCTAATTCTAGGTCATACATCAGTGGATGACTCTTAATTATTTAAGTGGATGAATTAACTATTTTACTAGGTTTCTATTAGGATGGAGGATGGAAGAGGATGAGCCTTTTGTAAGGCATATGGTGATGGGATAAAGGCAGCACAAAAAAGAGAAAGGATTAAATGCCCCAAGTGCTCCTAAAAGGAAAAGTTATAGAAATACTTCCACAAGGTGAGGACTATTAGCGACAATTAGTGAAAATTACCTAAGAACTACATAATTACAAAAGGAATTACCCAAAAGTAATAAATCTACAGCCTCCAGCTTAGTAATCACCTACACATACGTAGCACCACCACCACCAAAAAAAAGATGGAAAAAAAATCAACTTGAATTCAACTACAGAAAGAACTTAGACACTGTTGAGAAACCATTCCAAAACACACAACTGCAGAAAGGCTACATTAGCTGAAGACTTGAAGAAACACAGAAAGTTTTTACACAAAATCTTTCTCTCAGGTTCTAAAGACATTCAAGAAGGGCCATCCCAGTAGGATACAAGAGGCCTTCCTATTACTATCCATAGACTCTTCCAAGAACAAATAACTCAGAACAAATGCACCCCAATGTTACTGGGAAACATCACTACACCATACACAAACAGACTAAACAGGACTGCTACCACCCCACAGCTGGCAACCTGGGCCAACAGCTCCTACCCTGGTACCACCGGACCACTTTACCCTGCATCCCATGGGAGGGACAGCGCTGTGGTTCTCCTTGCCTTGTCTGTTCCACTATAAATGATGGATTTGGGGAATGTGAGGCTAAAATAAATGACTAAGTCTGGAGAAGAAGAGATATGTACCCAATATTTCATCAACAACTTGGCTCAGAAACCCATGAGGCATTTTATAAACTGTCCTGGAACTGGTTTTTAAAAGATACCTCCGGGGGGCCAGGCACAGTGGTTCATGCCTGTAATCCCAGCACTTTGGGAGGCTGAGGCAGGCGGATCACAAGGTCAGGAGATCGAGACCACCCTGGCTAACACAGTGAAACCCCATCCCTACTAGAAGTATAAAAAATTAGCCGGGCGTGATGACAAGTACCTGTAGTCCCAGCTACTTGGGAGGCTGAGGTTGCGGTGAGCCGCCGAGATGGTGCCACTGCACTCTAGCCTAGGCACCAAGAGCGAGACTCATCTCAAAAAAAAAAAAAAAACAAACAAAAAAAAACCTCTGGGATCATAAGCTCCGAATGCAAACTCTTTTAGGCAGATATGGTGAAACTCTGCCAAAACTCTTCCACATCTACTTCTAGAGTCTATTCCATACAGTTTTATCCACTTCACTCCAAACTACCCATGAAGCAGTTTTTTTTCCCCCTGAAAATTTCATACTGCCACACCAATTTCAAATAACCCTGTGTCACACATTCTCATCACTCCACAGATCCACTTCTAACACTCCACTGAAATAATTGGAATAGGAACTCCATTCTAAACTCGGCCCTGCTTGTTCCAGATACAGGAAAGCAATTCCGTAAAGTCTATATTGGCACTTAGGGTCTTTGTGTCCCAAAGCAGAATAAAAATTTCTCCTTTGGACAAAAGGCAACACTATTCAGTGGCTTCACCTGAGCATTTCACATTTCATTCCTGATGAGCATTAAGCGGGAACGGAAACTGATGGGATTTAGTACTAACTTTTTACACAAAAACTTCCTGGGGACCCTCAAGAGGTAATAGAAAAAAGCTGGTATTTTCTCCCACAACAAACTTCAGCATTACAATTGCTATTACTTTAAGTATTCTATCACATGTGAAACACACACACACACACACACACACACACGCCACATTTAGTTGTGACCCCCTTCTCCCCCAAAACCAGAAAAGCCATTAACCCTCAAATTATCTTACCCTCTCTCTCTCTTCCTCCTGCTGTCTTATTCCTTCTCCTTTCCAGGGCTCCTGAACTTTCTGTAAACAAATTGTCTAGGTTACAGGGGCCAGGCAGGGTGCAGCCACCAGAGAACCGTGGAGAACCTCAGGAATTCTCTGACTGTCAGCAGTCAGTCTGGAAGGCAGGCAGACCCCCCCAACCAGCAATTCAAAGACTGGTGGATATAATAACAGGAGTCTAGTGCCACCCTCTACGTGGATATAAATCCAATTCCTAGAAACTAAGACGAACTCTAACACCAGCGTTGGGGTTCCACTCCTAGGCTCAGAGACTGGTCCTTGTTCGTTCCCAGGCCACAGGTAACCAGGGTTCAGGGAACAGAAGAGGTGGAGGAGGAGGAGGGTCTCTGCCTCTGAGGAGTGGCTTCAGAAGGCAAAGCTGAGGGCTGGGGGATGCACAAGCCCTTGTGTCAGGCACTGTGCCAGTTCAGGCCCAGCCACTTCCTCTAGCCTTCCCCCCACTTCTTCGAGGACTTCGCCCCCTGCCTACCCAAGGCCTTGTGCCAAGAAGTACCTCCCTCAGTCTGCACAGTGGTCTATCTCTGGAGACCCCAGCTGTCCCCCCAAAACCTTCGCTCCCCTGAGACAGTTCCTGGGAGCTTTCTCCTGAGGTCGCCCCCTACCCCTTTCTCAAAGACCCTTCCTTGGGACGTCCCTCATTCCCCTCCAGGGAGCTGAACTCTGCCACCCACCAGACAGGCACCCGCCCCCTAAACCCCCCCATTCCTCCCCATCGCCCGCTCCTCCACAACCACTTCCGGTTCCGGGACGGACACAGACAGTCACATCGTGGACCCCCCCCTCCCCGTCCGCCAAGGAAAAGGGGAGGGGGGAGGAGCAGGGAGCTTGGCGCGCGCCGGCTGCAGCGGCGCGAGACTCACCCGGCGGCGACGGCTGCGGCGGCGCCAGAGCCTGAGCCAGAGCGCGGGAGGGGCGGCGTTTGCTGGAAAAGGAGGGAGCCGAGTCGGGTGGGAGGACCAAAAGGGGGCGAGGGAGGGGGGAGAGCGCCAGGCGTACGGCGCGGGCACGCACTTCTGGCGCGAGACAGACCCACACACTCACACGCACGGAACGCGCGCGAGACACCCGCAGGGCGGGGGCGCGAGGCGGTGGGTGGCCCCCCTCCCTGCCTCCCTCCCCTTGCACTCACCCGGAAGTGGTGCGGCAATTCTTGCTCCCGCGAACCCCAATTCCTCCACGCCCCCCTCCGTCCCTCCCCCCCCCCACAGGCTCAGAGAAGAGCTCTGCGGAGAGAAGGCGGGAGAGCCGGAAACGAAAAGGGGGGAGGGAGGGAAATAGCAATGTTGGGGGGGCGCTCGTGGAGAAAGAGGGGCGTGCGAAAGTCGAGTCACTTCCGGGAGTGGCTGGAACACATCCGGCGCCGCTAGCGCTGCGGGATTTTTCAGGGCAGAAGTTATGATAACTCGGGGCGGAAGTAGCTTCTGTCCAGCGACGCGGGTAAAATCCGCGGCGGATGTGACGCCACAGCGGAAGTGAAGGCGGGTTCTGCTAAGGGCAAAAGCTGAACCGGAGGACTGCGGCCCCGGGCTTCCGGAAGGGACTTCTGGGGAAGTGGGAGGGTGGAAACGCGACAGGTTCATGAATTATGTATCAAGGTAGGAGAGGAGGTGTAGGTTCTTCAGCTGCTGGGACCCCGTTTCTAGAATAAGCTGATAGAGGAAGTGACCATTATTTTTTCTGATACCCCCAGGAATGTCTTAGTGCTTTGAATACACGAGAATGGACTACGACGTGTCCATGTTTTTCTGAGGTTTCTACTTACGCTCACGGTTACAACCTCTCCCAGCCATCAGAATCTGCCTCTCTCGACACATCCATTACTCTTTTTACTTTCGTCTCTTCTTGTTGCCCATACTCATATCTTACCTGTTTTACTTTCAAATATAGCACTCATTACTACCTGATATATCGTTTGCTGTTCACCTCTTCCCACTAAAATACTGGCGACAGGACAGCGAGGACTGAATTGTTCATTGCTGAATCCTCATATCCTGGCACTTAAGTGGTTTGTAAATTCCTGTTGTATAAGTTCGGTTCATTATGAACGCCTAATAAGAACCCTTTCAGGAAGCCTTCCTTGATTGCTCTGACCTGTAATGGTCCCTTTGCATTCTTACAGCATTTAATTGCATACCTTTTATTGATATTTTATTTCCTACATGTGATTCCGCAGCAAGATTGTCAGCTCCTCGGGGAAGAAAATACTCAAGCTGCTTTGCTGAGCACATAGTAAATGCTGAATAAATATATGTTGTTTGAATAAATGAATGCTATTAAAAGTGTGCACCGTGACCTGGCCAGAATCCCTCTGGGTCCAGCTCTGAGCAGAACTGAGGTATCTCCTACTAGCGGTAAGAGCCTCTTGCTGAGAAAAATAACTTTTTTTGAGATGGAGTCTCGCCCTGTCGCCTAGGCTGGAGTGCATTGGGTGTGATCTTGGCTCACTGCAACCTCCATCTTCTGGGTTCAACCCATTCTCCTGCCTCAGCCTCCTGAGTAGCTGGGATTACAGGCACCCGCCACCACGCCTGGCTAATTTTTTGTGCCTTTAGTAGAGATGGGGTTTCGCCATGTTGGCAAGGCTGGTCTCGGACTCCTGACCTCATGATCTGCCCGCCTCAGCCTCCCAAAGTGCTGGGATTACAGGCATGAGCCAACGCGCCAGACGAAAAATAACTTTAACAGAAATAATTACAATGCCCATTTTATAGATAATGAAAATAAGCCTCTGAAGGTTTAAGTGATTTTTTTCCCCCACAAGGTCAAAGCAAGAAGGTAACCAAGTACACCTTTAAATATTTAAATAGATGATGCATCTCTTTGTAATTGTAGTTTGTATCTTTTTTAAAGTGTTTATCACATTTTTGGGCTCAGCCCTCAGTCTCCGTTGACTGAGTAGCAACAGCTGGCAGAATTAGGCTCTTAAGGGCTCAGATGTGACCAGACCTAGTGCTGTGTGGATTAGAGATTGTGGATTCAAGAAACCTTGACATCAGGGGCTGGTATTAAAAGGTGGGAACAAGAAATAGTAGTAATTACTGTACCTCCTGGTTCTCCTCCTGTTCCTTTCCTATTTACATTAACTGAGCACTTCCTGGGCCTCAGTATCTCTGTCAGCCCTGTTCCTGCCTTTGCTATTAGAAGCAAGTTTCCCATCTTCTTGGGAGGCTGAGGCAGGAGCATCACTTGAACCTGAGAGGTGGAGGTTATGGTGAGTCGTGATCACATCATTGCACTCCAGCCTGGGCAACAAGAGCAAAACTCTGTCTCAAAAAAAAAAAGAAGAAGCAAGTTTCAAGTATTCTGAACTCCTTAGGGAAAAGCTTCAGAACAATAAATGTGGGGCGTAGAGGGAGGAGGGCTGTTAATTTTAGCCTGGGGTTCTCCAGCTGGTATACTGTTTCCATCTTGAATCACTTCCACACCCTGAGCTGTGCCTGGGAGATCCCTCCCTCCTCCTGGGGGCTTCCCCATTCCCTGGTTTGGTCTGAGCCACAATGGCAAGCATTCCAGAAAAACGCTAAGAGAAGCCTGGCTGAGTCATTTGATGCACAGCTCAGGAGGCGAAGAAAGGATGGTGATAAGAGATGCTGGTTCCAGTGGTGCCTGTGATGTGTGACCTCAAAGAACCTTCCAATTCCCCAAAGGGCAGCATGGCCATTGTTTTGTTCTTGGTTAGTGACTCTGCTGCAGCCTTCTGAGGACCTCCCAAAGCCCCACTTTCAACTATAGGAGAGAGAAGAGAGCCTCATGACTCTTCATGGCTAACATGACAGTGCAATATCATATGGGAGGATTCTTTTTTTTTTTTTTTTCTGAGACGGAGTTTCACTCTTGTTACCCAGGCTGGAGTGCAATGGCGCGATCTCGGCTCACCACAACCTCCGCCTCCCGGGTTCAGGCAGTTCTCCCGCCTCAGCCTCCTGAGTAGCTGGGATTACAGGCACGCGCCACCATGCCCAGCTAATTTTTTGTACTTTTAGTAGAGACGGGATTTCACCATGTTGACCAGGATGGTCTCGATCTCTCGACCTCGTGATCCACCCGCCTTGGCCTCCCAAAGTGCTGGGATTACAGGCGTGAGCCACCGCGCCCGGCGGGGGAGGATTCTTTTAATACAGCTCAGAGCTTGGGACGGTCTCCTGCCTTCTCCATCTTTCCTGCCATCTGACTTTCCATGGGGAAATGAGGACATTTAAGGAGAGGGAACAGGTGAGGATTTCCAGTATCTTGGTGGTGTATTTTAATTTATTTAAATGTACAGAAACAGCAGTCCAATCAGACAGTAATTAATTCCCTCTTCATTAGGGGCCTTCATGTGTGCCTTCTGCATATGGATGAGCCACGGGTCACACTGTCCCTCTGAGGAGAGATCCTTGCTGAAGGTGAGAGCCCAGTGTGCTCTCTGGCACTTGAGCTCCTTCCCCTTCTGTGCCAATGCTTCTTGCTTCTCCCCACCCTCACCTGACAAGGACTAGATTCCTGCCGGGAAGGAAGGAAAGGTGAATGAAGCTCCCTCGCATCCTCCTTGGATCTGGATGCCTCCCTTACCCCAGAGCGTATGCCGTCCACACCTCATCCTGCACCCTCAGGTTCCATCCAGCCTGCTCCCTCCCATCAGCTGCCTGCTGGAATCTCTTCATGTCCCAGTGAGTTGACTCCTCAGAAGCTGGTTTGCGTGGCACCTCTGCTTTGAGTTGGTTCTTCAGTCCTTGGCCCCGCTCTGCTTCTTTGCTCTGTAGCAGTCCTTTTCTAAGGGAGTCTGACGCCCTGAATGTACACACTGCTCTAGTCCTGAGAAATACGCTGCCTCCTCCTGGCACTCACCGTTCTGTGCTGCACAGGCTCAGCCACACTTCCCTCAGCTCACAGTAAAGCTCCCAACACACCAACAAACAGACATTCCTATCCTAGCTTGAAAGATAAACGTACAGGGGCATATACAGTCTAGGGCAGCCTGGGCCCCCCCTTTTGCACACTACATCATCCCTATCCTCCCTGGGGCCACCCCATTCCCAGGGAGCAAGTGGGGCACAGATTGGGGGAGGGGGAGAGATGGGACCTGGGTGGTTACCATGGCAATAGAGCCTAGCAACAGCTGAGAGGCTGATGTGTGGGTTTTCACAGGGCTGTTTCAAGAGCCAAACCTAGAACTGGGGACTCAGAGGTGACTGATCCCAGCTGGGCAGTCTGCATTCCCTCCCCAAACACACCCCTTGATCCTGCCCCCACACTCCTGCAGTGCCTCTCTCAGAGAGGGCAGAGTGGGGAAAGCTAATGAGTTAACCACAGGGCTTCTGATTCTGCTCAGCTTTTGGGGGACAGCTGTGGGTGGGGGCAGGTTAGGGAGCAAGGCCGAAAATAAACCAAGCAGGGCAGCTTCTTTCAGATGGCTCCCTCTCATCTTTTCTCCATTGCTCCATTTTTCAATTCTGCTTTCCCCCTTCTCCCGCCGACTCTTATCAGCTCTCTCTTCCTCCTCGCTCCACTTCCTATCCGTCTACGTAATTTTCCTTTTCTACTGTCTCCCTCCTTAGGGTCTCTCTTGACCCTCCTTGGCAAGGAACAAGTGAGCCACAATTTCTATTCTAGTTTCTCTCTTGTACCACTGCTCCTCATCAGGACTGCTCCCTTCCATTTTGTCCCAAGTTAAAGCCCCAATTGGCCCCCAGCTCCAGGTCAGAGGAGGGCAGGTGACTTAGGTCTGAAGGGGGTCCCCACCTCATCCTGTATCTCCTACTGGCTGCCCACCCCCCTCCTCCTCTCTACGGGGGTCAGAAGGCAGAACCAGGGGACTTGAGTATCTTGCAAAGGCTTTATTTGAAAAGTTTGAAACTTACATCCCACAGTAATTCAAGATGATCACCACAAGAAGAAGAAAGAGATAATACAAAAATAGATATCACAGCATAGGAGCCAGGGAAAAGGGGAAGAAGGAAGGTGGAAAAGCCAGTGAGAAGTAGGGAAGAAACTGAGGAGGGAAAAAGGGCAGGGAGGCAAAAGGAAGGCGTGGAAGAAGAAGGGAGGAAAGGACGGGACAGGAGGGAGTCTGGGAAGGGAAGGGTGGGTTTGGAGCCAGAGCTCCTGATGGCCTTGAACCAGCTGACTCCGGTCCCTGGCAGCCCAGGTGTAGTTAG